TTTTTTCCTTCTGAAGGGAGTGCAATCTTGAAACAATTTGAGTTTATCTATTTACTCCTTTTTTAGTTCTATAAATACAAATAAGAGCCAAATAGTTTCTCTTAAGCGGAAAGTCCCTATTTTCCCCATGGTCCTAGATTTTAATAATATAATGGTTGAAGAGATTTAACTCAAATTATGATTCCTCTATGTTAAAATAAACCATCATCTTTGAGCTATAAACAGATAAGTTATGGAAATTTTAAAGGCAGATAGCAGAAGTACTGTTTCTAAATGTAGAGTGGAGATATTGACTTATATGTCCTTAATTATAGCAGTTAAGATTACAGAAGCTTTTTAATTATTCTAGTCATTTAATAAAGTACTTGACATATTAGAATCTTAAATAATTTTATTCAGGACTAAAAGTGAAAAACATCTCTAATTTTGTCATAAACAAAATTGTATTTGCCAAATGCGGAAATATATATCATGTGACTGTTTAGGGGCAGTGGCAGTCATAAAAACTCTCATTCTAAATGTGTTTTTGTCTCCTGTGTGCCTCCATTCTGGGTAGTCCATTGGCTGACCACTCTTGGTGGCCTTTCATTTCATTTCATTTCATCATTTCATCATCCTGTTAATCGTCGATTGCCTCGAGCAGGCCCCAGTAACGTCTCTTTCATCCTAGCCCTGAGATTATATTCACGGCTCTTTAGGAGAATGAGACCCATCATTGTTACTGGTATTTGGCATATTTGGTACGCCACGGGGAGTTTGCCAGACTCTGCCCTGTGGGCAGGCTACATTCGATAGCCTGCAAGTTTGTCCAAAGTAGGAATGACATAATAAGATGTCATAAAGAGAAGTTCTGATAAGATGTCGCGCGGCCGCGAATGCGGCAGCGCGGTTCCGGGATCAGGATTTTATAGTCTCTGAGTCTTGGCCGCTGATGGGATTACACGGCGCCAGGGGGCCAGGTGGTGGGTGTGACCCCCGCCTACTGGAATTTGGAGGATCTGGGTGGAGGATGCTCGACTCCAATTCGAGTAGGCTTGGAGATCTCGGCCCCGGAACCCGCGTGGCTTTGTCCCTCTGCCAGTACCTTCATGTGTGCGGAGAGTGGTCTCAGCATGGTGGTGGCTGGTCCTGGAGGTCTTCGGCTGCCGGAGCCCTGGTCGGGGTGGGGAGGAAAGCTCAACCTGCTCCCCTCCAAGGGACCCCGGCGAGGAACAGCCAGGCGCAGGGGCAGGAGACTGACAGCACTGGTCTCGTCCGGGATCTGGATTTTATAGTCTCTGAGTCTTGGCCGCTGATGGGATTACACGGCGCCAGGGGGCCAGGTGGTGGGTGTGACCCCCGCCTACTGGAATTTGGAGGATCTGGGTGGAGGATGCTCGACTCCAATTCGAGTAGGCTTGGAGATCTCGGCCCCGGAACCCGCGTGGCTTTGTCCCTCTGCCAGTACCTTCATGTGTGCGGAGAGTGGTCTCAGCATGGTGGTGGCTGGTCCTGGAGGTCTTCGGCTGCCGGAGCCCTGGTCGGGGTGGGGAGGAAAGCTCAACCTGCTCCCCTCCAAGGGACCCCGGCGAGGAACAGCCAGGCGCAGGGGCAGGAGACTGACAGCACTGGTCTCGTCCGGGATCTGGATTTTATAGTCTCTGAGTCTTGGCCGCTGATGGGATTACACGGCGCCAGGGGGCCAGGTGGTGGGTGTGACCCCCGCCTACTGGAATTTGGAGGATCTGGGTGGAGGATGCTCGACTCCAATTCGAGTAGGCTTGGAGATCTCGGCCCCGGAACCCGCGTGGCTTTGTCCCTCTGCCAGTACCTTCATGTGTGCGGAGAGTGGTCTCAGCATGGTGGTGGCTGGTCCTGGAGGTCTTCGGCTGCCGGAGCCCTGGTCGGGGTGGGGAGGAAAGCTCAACCTGCTCCCCTCCAAGGGACCCCGGCGAGGAACAGCCAGGCGCAGGGGCAGGAGACTGACTGCACTGGTCTCGTCCGGGATCTGGATTTTATAGTCTCTGAGTCTTGGCCGCTGATGGGATTACACGGCGCCAGGGGGCCAGGTGGTGGGTGTGACCCCCGCCTACTGGAATTTGGAGGATCTGGGTGGAGGATGCTCGACTCCAATTCGAGTAGGCTTGGAGATCTCGGCCCCGGAACCCGCGTGGCTTTGTCCCTCTGCCAGTACCTTCATGTGTGCGGAGAGTGGTCTCAGCATGGTGGTGGCTGGTCCTGGAGGTCTTCGGCTGCCGGAGCCCTGGTCGGGGTGGGGAGGAAAGCTCAACCTGCTCCCCTCCAAGGGACCCCGGCGAGGAACAGCCAGGCGCAGGGGCAGGAGACTGACTGCACTGGTCTCGTCCGGGATCTGGATTTTATAGTCTCTGAGTCTTGGCCGCTGATGGGATTACACGGCGCCAGGGGGCCAGGTGGTGGGTGTGACCCTCGCCTACTGGAATTTGGAGGATCTGGGTGGAGGATGCTCGACTCCAATTCGAGTAGGCTTGGAGATCTCGGCCCCGGAACCCACGTGGCTTTGTCCCTCTGCCAGTACCTTCATGTACTGAGACCACTCTCCGCACACATGAAGGTACTGGCAGAGGGACAAAGCCACGCGGGTTCCGGGGCCGAGATCTCCAAGCCTACTCGAATTGGAGTCGAGCATCCTCCACCCAGATCTTCCAAATTCCAGTAGGCGGGGGTCACACCCACCACCTGGCCCCCTGGCGCTGTGTAATCCCATCAGCGGCCAAGACTCAGAGACTATAAAATCCAGATCCCGGACGAGACCAGTGCAGTCAGTCTCCTGCCCCAGCGCCTGGCTGTTCCTCGCCGGGGTCCCTTGGAGGGGAGCGGGTTGAGCTTTCCTCCCCACCCCGACCAGGGCTCCGGCAGCCGAAGACCTCCAGGACCAGCCACCACCATGCTGAGACCACTCTCCGCACACATGAAGGTACTGGCAGAGGGACAAAGCCACGCGGGTTCCGGGGCCGAGATCTCCAAGCCTACTCGAATTGGAGTCGAGCATCCTCCACCCAGATCCTCCAAATTCCAGTAGGCGGGGGTCACACCCACCACCTGGCCCCCTGGCGCTGTGTAATCCTATCAGCGGCCAAGACTCAGAGACTATAAAATCCAGATCCCGGACGAGACCAGTGCAGTCAGTCTCCTGCCCCTGCGCCTGGCTGTTCCTCGCCGGGGTCCCTTGGAGGGGAGTGGGTTGAGCTTTCCTCCCCACCCCGACCAGGGCTCCGGCAGCCGAAGACCTCCAGGACCAGCCACCACCATGGTGGCCTTTGAAGCATGGTATTCCTTTGTACACCTAACCTCAAAACTAAGTGTTTTGTTTTCATAGTTTGCTTGTGCAAGAAAGTTACGAAGTATTCCAAATAGGAAGTACATGTGTCATCAATGTAAAAAGGATCAAAAATAACATTGCCATTTGCCTTTTGAAACCATTTTAGCATAAACATGGTAGGTGGAGACTCCTGCCCCCGTGCCTGGCTGTCCTCACCGGGGCCCCTTGGAGGGAGGCAGGTTGAGTTTCCCTCCCCCCTGAGCAGAGCCCCAGCAGCCGAAGACCTCCAGAACCAGCCACAGTCATGCTGAGACCACTCTCCACACATCTGGACAAGCCTCATGCATGAAGGAACTGGCAGAGGAACCCAGGCATGCGGGTCCTGGGGCTGAGATCTCCAAGCCTGCTTGGATTGGGACTGGGCCTTCTCCACCCAGATCCCTCATCTTCCAGTAGGTAGGCGTCACACACAACAGGTGCCACCAGCGTCAGGTTGGTCCCATCAACCGCCAAGACACAGAGACTCTAAAACCCAGCTCCCGGAAGTGCACGGCCACATTTGCGGCCACGCGACATCTTATTATCTCATTATTACTTTGGAGAACCTGGCAGGCTACCGAAAGTATCCTGCCCACACGGCAGAGTCTGGCAAACTTCCTGTGTCGTACTCAATATGCCAAATACCAGTAACAATGATGGGTCTCATTCTCCTAACCCTGAAAGAGCATTGAATATGGCTCTTTTAAAATCTCAGGGCTAGGAAGAAGGAAACGTTACTGGTGCCTGCTCGAGGCAATCGATGAACAACAGGATGATCATGATTGTGATCGTGATGGTAGATGGAGAAAAGCTTGGGTTATAAATCCAGAAACCAACTGTTTTACTAACTCCTCTTCAATAAGTACATTTATTTACCACTTAATTTTATTTCTGATATTCCCTTTCTCTTTATTTTTGCAGAATGGAGTCATAATAATTGTTAGACTATTTTCTTTCGTTAAAAAAATTACACAATCACTCAACAATTTTCTAGCCAGGGACAAAGCATATCCATCTTGTGTTTTTAGTAACAGTTTTAATGTGAGAACATTACAAGTCTTTCTTACTGACTTTGATCAGCCTGCGAGAACTTGGCTAAGTATAACACGGTTAATACGTCTTACTGACAAAAAGTGAAAAGCAGGGCCAGAGACATAGCTAATTAGCAGAGCCCTTAGCTTGCAGGTGTGAGGCCCTGAGTTTAATCCTTAACACCTTAAAAAAGTAAAGTAAAGTAAAGACTGGAGCGATAGCACAGCGGTAGGGCGTTCGCCTTACAAGCGGCCAACATGGCCGACCCGAGTTCGATTCCTCCGCCCCTCTCGGAGAGCCCGGCAAGCTACCGAGAGTATTGGATATGCCAGACACAGTAACAACAAAGTCTCCAATGGAGACGTTACTGGGCCTGCTCGAGCAAATCGACGACCAACGGGAGGGCCTTTACCTTTTTACCTTACCTTACCTTAAAAAAAATCCCCAGCACTGTATTTTAAAAGGAGCAGGGAAAAAGCATGGTGTGAAACCCTAAAAGCATGATTTTGCCACAAATTTTCTATCTTGTAACCATATACGTCAGGTCCAGGTTATAGTCATAGTTCTCCATCCTCTGACAAAACAAAATAAAGCTTGTTTTCTGCTTATAGAAGTAATTTTTTTTATCTTCACAGAAACTTGGTCTTACCTTTGAGCTACACTTGTACAACGGATGACTGATAGAATCAACGTAATGGTGCCTCATGCAGCGCCGAGGGTCCGAGTCCAACATCAAGGAGCTATCTGTATCTCCCATTAGCGCCAGCAGGGAGAGCATAGAGAAGGATGCAGCTAGTACATGATTTCTCATTGTTGTAAGAAAAAAGTTCTCAAGAAGAACAGTAGAGGGAGGCAGAGTACTAAAAATTGGAAATGCTCCACCTTCTAGGATCCAGTTCCTTTCAAGGAAAGGGCAGGATATGGCTGAAGCTTCCTGGCTGTCATTGTCCTTTGTATGCCGAAGTTTTTCTTATTCTTTACACTTGCAGTCAATCATCACAGAATCTGCTACACAGCTGGAATGAAAACAGAAATTATTTTCTCCAGAAACATTTGCCCAGAGACAAAAATGGAACCCAGGAGGTATTGAATAGAATTTTCCCATGTCATTGCTAGTGAAGAATACTGGCTTTTAGAGTTTCACTAGCATAAATTGTCATCCGTTCTAGCCCACCACATCCCATAATTTATACTAAATATTTAAAAACATTTGGAGGTGGACACAATGGTTTAATGGAAGCATATGTTGCCTTTAATTACTGGAATCTATGTTCCTAGGAGTAAGGATAGTATTGAACCCAGTATAAAAATTAAACATATGGTTCTGGGAACAGCATAACTGCTTTGGGTGGTCTCATCCTTATCCCTGGCTGGTGGGGACACGAGAGTCTCTTTAGTCTTTCAACAAGCTTTAGTGTCAATGTCAGTTTTCTGGTTTAAGGGGAGATAGGTCAGTACTAATGAATACAGGCCATGCCCCAGGGGGGACCATATTTTCCATTTCCAAGTTCATATCCACCCACCCACTTAGTTTTCCATTTCTGCATTATGGACTCATCCTGTTTTTGTTAGTCCCATGCCACCCAGCCTCAGTGACAACCTGCATCTGAAATAATGCTAACTGGATTCCAGTGTGTTTAGGACTACACATGTGTTTGCCAACGAAGTATACTTCTGTGGAGCCTTTCCATGTGGTATAATTTGAAAAAGTAAGTAGCAGTTGGAGTGGAAACTTACCATTAAAATGGGATCATGCTATATTTATACCCTTGAAATTTACTTTGTTCCTTTAAACATAATTTTTGGCCAAAGAAATGGGATCTACAGACCACCCTGAATCACCTCATTTACTACCCAGGCATGACCAACATTGATATCTTTTATCATACCAAAACACAGTACCAAAACTAATTTTGATTTTTTGAGTCAAATTAAGGGGACTAGACATGATATTAAACATAATGAAACATTAAAGCTTCGGGAAAACTTTCAAAGTTATTTAAGATCAAAATTTGATTATTTTGTTCGCAATATAATTTTTTCCCACTTCCTACTACTAGACAATCTGGACAAACAGGTAAACATGTTGATAAGACATTCAAGTTCATATCAGTCAATTCATTCTGCTTTAACAGCAAAACTGTTAAAGCAAAGCTAATTGAGTCTAGTGCCCTCAGACACACTTAGCCCCAGAAAGCTGCTTTGCAAGTCTTTGGTAAGGGATCCTAAGGAATATGACATAGGACTCTTTCAAAGTGGAACATTCTTCTCAATGGCAGAACCTCCAAGGATATGTTTCAGGAAGTTCAAGCCTATAATTTTTTCAGGAAAGTAAAAGCCAGATATAAGGGAACACAGACTCTAGCACTACCATAGCTTAGCTAAGGAAGCTTGTAAAGGTCATTTCAACTCTTCAAGCCTCAGTTTCTTTATCTGTAGACTATGAGAGCTTGAAATAGATATTGGGTTCAGTTCACTGTTTCTCTAAAACGCAACTATTTGCTAATTAAAGAAACAGTTACCACTACTTACATATGCAAGTAGTGGTTATAAGTAGTTACCACTACTTATAACTTATAAGTGGTTATAAGTAGTTACCACTACTTATAAGCGGCCAACATGGCCGACCCGAGTTCGATTCCTCCGCCCCTCTCAGAGAGCCCGGCAAGCTACCGAGAGTATTTGATATGCCAAACACAGTAACAACAAAGTCTCCAATGGAGACGTTACTGGGCCCGCTCGAGCAAATCGACGATCAACAGGAGGGCCTTTACCTTTACCTTTACCTTTACCTTTACCAAAGAATAATCCTAAAATTGAGAACACAATATTTTCATTCAACTTTGTATTAATTTCCTATGATGGACATGGTAATGGTAGCATCCCACTAAAATTGACCTAAATCTTTCTAAAGCTCTATCTTGGAAAAAAATTTAGAAGAGAATATTTTATAGTTACTTGTTCAGATGAATAGTCTAGATATCCCTATGCAATTTCCATGAAACTCACCAAAAGTTTGGCTCAAAGAGTAGAGCTTTCTGAGTACTATATTCAGCAGCTGCATTATTACTGGCCTTCCCATGAATTTTCATATGAATAAAATATTCTAAGTGGTTATACATTTCTTTGAAGTCTTAGTCTCCGGATGTGGATTTATTATATTTCTCCTTTCACCATTCCAATCTACAGATATATCCTCAAGGAGTCAAATGGCAAATGTATGACAGGAGAAATAGACAATTTAAGTTCTAGCCCTTTTTACCCCATGTGCAGAAACTTCTCTTCAATGCTATGCCCCGAAGATATGGCTAAATGAGTAAAGTAAATGGAAAAAATTGTACAGTTCAATAGCAGAAGCAAGCAATGCTTTACCATAGTAAAACCTCACATATGTCTGTATGTGAATGCATTTGTAGCTCTGTGGAAGAGGAAATATACAAGATCCTTAAACAAAGATGAGCACCCTCACTCATTTGAGAGAAATTAAAATGAAACTATTTTGCTCAACCAGATTTACAAAGGTTTCAAAGTCTACTCATATATTCTTTTGATGAGACAGTATAATTGATAAAGTTCTATAGAGACCATTTGGCAATATCTATTAAAATTGCAAATGTATGTAATTTAGAATGAGAAATTCCACTTCTGGGAATTATCTCACATGTGAAATCTCATAAGCATCTGGTCATTCACTTCAATGTTTATTGCCACGGTGTAAAATTGGAAATATCACAGTAGCACAAAATATTCATCACTAAGGGCATTGTTTAAATATATAACTTTTTATGTCATGAGCCACTATGCTACTATAAAGAGGATGCAGAAACCCTATGTGCTGATTTTGTTAAAACACAAAGTGGTAAGGATATATATTTGAGCCTTGCATGCATCAGTGCCAGATTGAATCCACAGTACCTGATATGGTTCCCTGAGCCCACAAGGAGTGATCCCTGAGCAAATCAGGAGCAAGCCTGAGAACAGCTCGGTGTGGGATAAATACAAAATACATATGTGTGTATATGTATAGTATGAATTTGTCTTCTTTCATAGGAAACCTCTGGGAAGATACTCTAAAACTAATAGAATTAGTTATGGGAGTTTGGTGACAAGTATAGAAGAAAGACTTTTAATGTATACCTTTTTTATTTGTAGGCTTTTTTGAACTTGCGGATTTATCACCTATTACATTTTTGAAGATTTTAAACCTCTGCTTAGAAATAATAATTAAATTATAAATCAGTGATTCTTCATTTCCGTTTTTTTTTAAATTATGACAAGTCAGGTAATTCTTTTTTTTCTTTTTGGTTCACACCCGGCGATGCACAGGGGTTACTCCTGGCTTTGCACTCAGGAACAACTCCTGGAGGTGCTCGGGGTTACCATATGGGATGCGGGGAATCAAACTCTGGTCGCCCGTGTGCAAGGCAAATGCCCTCTACCGGCTGTACGATCGCTCCAGTCCCTGGTCAGATAATTCTTGTGCACTACTGCCACCTAGTGACAATGTCCTGAATTGGAAGCACAGTGAATCCCTTTCCCCTCACTGCCCCACAAACGGTGAATTAATGGCTTGTCTGAAAGTACTATGAGTTTTATCCTAACGAACATTTATCAATGTCATTTAAAATGTAACTTTATTGTCTGTTTTTTTCATTAAATACAATAAGTTCTAACCAAAGAAGTAATAAATTATAAAAGAATAACAGAGGAAATGTATCGGCACAAAAAAGAAATAGATATTTCATTTCAACATGCTCACAAAGCATAACCATTTTTCTCACTTTTCATATTAAACTATGAATAAGAATTTAAGCAACAATGTAAGTATGTCACTGAATTTACCAAATTCCCAAACCAAAACTGAAAGATTTTTGCTACATAGCATTGCGAGTTTTTTTTTTGTCTAAAGTGTTCAAATTGAATAAAATAATTGTGTGAGAAATAAATAAGTATGATTCTTAAGAAAAGCATGGAAATGGGTGAATTTGTTTTTGCACTGGTTGGAGAACAGATTGCTGAGAATTTGCAGAGTTGTGTGTGTGTGTATGTGTTCTTTTAAATAAAGTCAAGAATGAAGGAAATATACATTACTAAGTACTTCATTTTATGGTAAACTGTTTTAGGAGAGTCTATAGTTGCCTCAAAATTAAATTAATTATTTGACTTAATTTTTAAAAGCCATGTAACTTAAAGCCAAATGTTGACTCAAATGAATGAGAAAGTAACTCTCTTCCTGAACTCAATAGCACCAGAACTGCCCTCTGCTTTGGTACTGTCTCTGAGACAGGAACTTGGCTGATGTACAGAGCCCACATTCTAATAGCACCAACATGGAGCCCTTGCCAACAGAAGAACTATGTAGGTCGGCGTGCCCGACTTTTGAGCTACCCTCCAAACAATACCAGTGGACAAGAACAACTAGTTCCCAGATTTCTCCACCTGTGATCCTCAACGAGATAATAGAGCAAAGCTTACAGTGGCCTAGCCACCTGGGTGGGTGAGAAATGATGCTGTGTCAAAAAATCAACTCACTCTTGGGCTGACCTTCCACATGGCAGAGGGCAGAGAGTACTGGTTTCACACAAGTTAAAACAGCTACAGACTAAGATAAGTAACATGTGCCAAAAATGCCTCTTTTATTACTTTGCTTGCCAGGAAAGAGGGGGTATTAGTATCTACGTTTCACTTCTGGGTTTATTTCAGTACTAATATATACAGGTATTGCTACCTTTGGGCTTTTTTTTCTTCAAGTGTTGATTTAATATATGTTTGTTAATCATATTATTCCTATTTCTTTCCTTCTGATCTAGCAGATAAGAGTCAAGGAACAGTAGAAACCATAGGTCTTCTCTATCCCAATTTCCTTGTCCAGTTCAATATATTTCCAAGCAAAAAAGTCTTGACATGCTGTTTTTCTGTGTAATTTTTTGACACACTGATTAACTCCCTTAACAGGAAATTTGTGGAAGCATGCATTGCCTCATTTCTAGGGAGATTAGTTAAAGCAAACAAAACA